CCCAAAGTCTTTCAATGAAGCCCCTATAACTCTAATACGAAATCCATGTAAAGACACAACAAAAAAGAAAACTACAGGTTAATATCCCCAATAGATATAGATTTAAAAATGTTCGACATAATGCTTGCAAACGTATTACAGATACACACCAAAAAGGGTCACTACCATGACCAAGTTGGCTTTATCCCTGAAATTCAGGGACGGTTCATCAAATGCAAGTCAATAAATGTAATAAACCAGATTAACATCCTTAAGGACAAAAAGCAGTTGATCATCTCAACAGATGCAGAAAGTATTTTACAAAACCCAACATGCATTCATGATAAAAGTCCTAGAAAATGTAGGTACAGAAGGAACATACCTCAACACAGTAAAAGCTATATATGGGAAACCCACAGTCAACATCTTCCTAAATGGAGAAAGACTTGAATCAATCCCATTGAAGTCAGGAACCTTGAAGAACTAGTTTGGAGCATTAGGCAAGAGAACGAAATTAATAATTTACAAAATAAAGAAAAGTCAAACAATCCCTATTTGCAGATGACATGATATCATGCATTAGAAATTTCAAAAATTCTACCAGAAAATTTCTATAAATGATACATTCAGCAATGTGGCAGGATATAAAACAAGTTGCACAAATCAATAGCTTTTCTATTCATCAACAAGCATACTAAAAAAGAGATCATGGATGCATACACTCCCATTTGTAGCAGCCACAAAAATAATAACCTATCTAGGGGGGAAAAAAAGCAACCAAGGAGGTGAAAGATGTTTACAATAAAATTTTATAACACTATAGAAAGAGATAGAGAAAGGCACTAGAAAACGGAAAGCTATCCTATGGTCATGGATTGGTAGAATTAATATTGTGAAAATAATCAAATGCTATTTACAGATTTGTTGCAATTTCAATCAAAACCCCTATCTCATTATCTGAAAGTAGAAAAAACTATTCTAAAATTCATAGGGAATCCCAAAATACCCTTGATAGCCAAAACAATTCTGAACAAAATAATGCTGGAGTTACCATTTCAGTTCTCAAGATATATAAGAGATTTACAGTAATACAACCAATATGGTATTGATAGAAAAACAGACATGTTGGCCAATGGGACAAAACTGAAGACCCAAACATGAGTACATATAACTTCAGCCATTGATCATTTGACAAAGATGCCAAAAATATACACTGATGAAAAACAGTACCTTTCACAAATAGTGCTGGGAAAACTGGATATCCACACACAGAAGTATGGAATTAGACCTGTACCTAACAGCTTGCACAGAAATTCGACTCCATATGGACCAAAGATCTAACAGCTTGCACAAAATCTCAACGCCAAATGGATCAAAGATCAAAATGTGAAACCTGCCACAGGGAAAGAGATGAAGACAGAGGCAGTACTCTACATGATCTAGGTGGAGGACTTTCTGAGTCAGACTCCATTTGCCCAACATTAAGGCCAACTATCAACAGGTAGGACTTCTTAAAACTTAAAAGCTTCTTGACAGCTTAGGAAACAATCAACCAGGTGAAGAGTAAGCCCACAGAATGGGAAAGGATCTTTGTTAGCTATGCATCTGTCAGAGGATTAATATCCAAACCATAAAAAGAACTCAAAAAACAGTCAAAACTACACCAGAAAAAAAAATCCACCCACTTAAAAAATGGGCTTGGGATCCGAACAGGGAGTGCTCAAAAGAAGAAATGAAAATGGCTAAGAAATACCTCAAATAATGTTTATGACCCCTAGCAATTAGAGAAATACAAGTGAAAATAACTTTGAGATTTCATCTTACCTCAGTCAGAATGACAAAGATCAACATAGCAACAGAAAGGAATGGGGAGGATGGAGGTGGAGGGGCAGTGACTGTTGGTGGGATTGTAAACAGGTCTAGACACTCTGGAAAGCACTGTGAAAAACTCTCTAAAAATTAAACATAAATCTACCATATGACCCAGCTATTCCATTCCTTGGCATAAGCCCAAAGATTCTATAAATACTAGCTCAGCCATCTTCATTGCTGGTCTAGTCACAATACCTAGGAAATGGAAACAACCTAAATGATTTCACCCAAAATGGATAATGAAAATATGGCACTTATATATTCTGTAATATTACTCAACTATAAGGAAAAACTAATTCATGTAACTTGCATGTAAATAGATGGTTCTGGAATAGGCCATATTGAATGAGGTAAGGGAGACCCAGAAAGAAGAAAGACACGTTCTCTCATCTGAGTGTGAGCATACTTGGAGTAACTTCAGAAACCAGGAAAGTAAAAAGGGACGAGTGCTGTGGTAGGGGAGCAAAGAAACAGGAATAGCACAGAACAAGTTATCTGACTGAGATATGGGGCAGAGTGGGGAGGGGCTTTGGCTAGGGAGGGGTGGAGATAAATACAGAAGGAGGAAAAAGGGTAAAACAGCAAGGCTATCTGAATAAATCATAAGGAATTATACTACTACCTAAAAATATATATAACTATATATAAATATACATATATGGTTTGAATGAAATTTTCTCATCTGGGTAATAATTCTCTCACCAAGATCCAAAGACTCTCTAATGAAAACCTTAACACCAGGCATGAGAAGTCCTCTTTTGCGTTGTTCATCGGGGTTTTCTAAGAGACTCCCAAAATAGTGTAATACAGTGGTTTTCAACCCTCCTAATGCTGCAACCCTTTAATACAGTTCCATATGTTGTGGTGACTCCCAACATAAATTTATTTTCATTGCTACTTAATAATATAATAATGTGCTACTTTTATGAATTGTAATGTAAATATCTATGTTTTTTGGTGATCTTAGGTGACCCCTGGAAAGGGTCATTTGATCCCCAGAAGGGTTGTGATCCACAGATTGAGAACTACTGCTGTATTACACACACTGTAATAGCCGCTGCTATTGCCCTTGGTTATAACCCAGAGTTGGAAGGTAAATCTCTATTGTTGATAACACCATGTACTTCAGACAAAGGGCCCAGAGGAAACTGATCTGGATCTAACCTAAATGAATGCCTTCTTCCTGAAGACTACATTTCATGCTGTCAGAAGGAGCCATACAAGTTTTGAAAAGAGGGAAGCAAAAGTCCTATGGAACTATGATGCCTATGAAACATAATAATGACCAGCATGGCATTATAACCCTAAGGGTGCAGTAATGCATACATAATTGGTCAGTCATCAACAGCTCTCTAATTGGACTTAAGACCTACTCAACAAGAGAGAAATAATCCTTGGTACTGGAAAGTTAGACAGCTGCTCTGGGCTACTGAGATGGATCTTGGAGAACCTATAGCCATCACTTTATAAGACCAGCATAATCTCTAACACCCACAAATAAGTGTTTTCTTCATCAAGGAAAGTTCTCTTTGAAACAGACTTGGAGACTGTTAAAGCAGACCACAACTAATAGGTTTTCTGCCCCCCTTAATAAGTTTCTCTGCCAACACAGTAAGAAAGATCAAGCTCAATTGAAAAGTTATAACAACATGTATATTAAGCAAAGTAACTCCCAGGTGGATTCACTGGCCTCTGAGAATGAGACCAGAGAAGATGGGCATCCAAGCCAAGGCAGGGAGATTTTATAGACTGTAGGTGGGGGTGATGATATGTCTGCCACAAGCTGGGTTTGTGCCCAAGTATGGTTAAAAGCTAAGTGCTTAGGCAGGGACTTGGGTAGCTGGCCACAACAGGGGATGAAGCTGCAACAGCGACCAAGAATGAGGAGAAGCATGTTTTTAATATCTTTTCTTTCTCTGGAGACTCTCTAAGCAGGTCAGGTTTGGAAAGAGTCAGGAATGAGGCTTCCAGGACAGTGCAAGGGTGAGCCAGAGACTCCAACTGAACAAAAACCAATCAAAATCAATTGTAGATCCCAGTACCAAGGGATACATCTACAATACAACCAGAACACTAAGGCTCGGGGATCATGGCTCAAGAGGGGGATGGAAAGTTTTTAAGTGCCAGAGGACCATGTGATTTGCTGTGAGATTGTGTCTTCTAGAAATATCAGAAGCTAGACCCATCAAATCTGACCAACAAGACTGCTTAGGCAAGAGCTGAATAAGAACAACAACAGACATGTTAGTGTGGCTGATGGTGGATGGGTTAGAGGTAGGGTTAGAGCCCTGAAGGCCTCAACCCTAACATTTAAAAAAAAAAAAAAAAACCTACTGGAACGAAATAATGCTGAAAGCAGGAGAAATGTCTTCCACCAGGTTATTGGTTATTCAATACCAAATGGTCAGTCCTGAAAACATATATAGTACATAGAAATAACATCATACAGACTGAGTAGGCTGTATTTATGTATTCATGAAACACCCCCACTCCAACCACCCATACACATATGTATCAACAATTCATGGAAAAGGAGGTCATGAATTTGAAAAACAGCAAGGAGAGTTCTGAGTGATGAAAAGGAAGGGATAAATGTAATAATAGTATAATCTCAAAAAATAAAAGAAACAGTTGTTTTTAAAAAACTGTGAACAAAGCAAATACTATTCTAGGTCCTTTAGGACTCCTCTGAGGTAGTAGATAACACAACATTCATCTCAACATTCCCAAGCAGCTGACTGCGGCAGTGTATGAGTAAAAGGCTCTTTTGAGTTCATTTTTGAGTCTGAATTCCAACCTCTCTATCTTATTTGATTACACTTGCATGGAAAATGTTCTATTTTATAATCCTAAGAAAAATTCAGTGTATGTACATATATCTACATATGTGTTAGGTATATGGGAGGCATGGTGTCCTTCTAGCTGACACCATGGCCACAACTATTAAGCACTTTGTTACTCTCAATGAGCTGGTTTAGGAATATCCTGCCTAGGCCTGCCCTTTAATAGCAGTAAATATTTAAAACTGTCAAAAATATAAGCTTCCCAATGTAGAAGACACATAGTATGTGAAATTTAAATTTTCATGTTAAAGTAGTACACTAGAGCAGATTTTTTTGATAAGACTCAAATAAACCCAAACAAGCAAATTAATTCTGAATAAGTAGTAACAATTTTATTTTAACTCAACGTGCTGAAACACAAAATCTATTTCCAACATCAAGACACAAATAGTATGTATCTCATCATAAAACACCGATTGATTAAATAAAGGCCGAAAAGTTAAATGTTTATATATCTGAATCTTGAAGTCAACTTCCTTCAGAACTAATAAATAATTTTAGCAGAACTTTATTTCCATAAATGGGCTCAATTCACTTTTAAGCAATGCAAAATTAACTAGATTATAGTATACAATAAGCTTTACTAACAGGAAAATATTTAAATATAAGTATTCCTTCTCAGACATAAAGTTCACATACAACAACAGAAGATACAGTGTGATTTCATTCCTAGTGAAGAAGTCTTGCATTTGAGGCACTCAGTATTTGTTCAGAGAGACCTAACATTGACATCATTCCATGAACACTTAAACTGGAGCTCACAATCTATATATAAAAAGGTTTGCAAAATATTCTCACATGTGCTGAAAGTGCTGTATTTATACTCTGAGAACACTGAAACAACTCACTCATCCACTCACTTAAGACCAGGCATGTCCAAGTCAGGTTAGTCTACCTCTCCATGAATGTGGCTTTTAGTAAAACTTACTGGGTTGGATTTTCATAAAACTTACACAAGTCTTTGTTGTATTTCTCTAACAAGGAATACTATCTTTGATTCCTCATTTTTTGTGTGTTTTGGTGGTGCTATGGATCCAACCCAGGGATCACAAATGTTGATAAGCACTCTATCACTGAACCACTCTCAAAGTCCTTATCTATAATTTTATATAAAAAATTCTTAGAATTTATATACAAAACTTTAAACGGGCAAATTAATATCTTTGACAATTTAAACTTTCAATTAGATCTAGTTAAAAAATAAAACAGTAATGCTCATGACACTTTTAAGATATGTAAAGCAATAATTTTAAATTTTAATTATACTTGATATCCTAAACCAGCACTGTTTTCCTATTTTATCATGCAGAATGCTGGTCACAGTTTTGAGGATTACACTGTCTTCTGGCAATCCACTGTCTTCTTAAATAAAGCACACTAAAATGAGATACATCAATTAATCTGAACTTTCAGCATATTTTAACTAAGTCCTATTTTCATAAATTCAGTCTTAAACATATTACACACAGCCCAAGGGAATACAGATACAAACACATACATACCTCACACAAATGACCACATTTGATTCAAGGTTCTCCAACAGCTATCTGAAGACAGTGACAGAGAAGGATTTAAGGAGGTAACATCAGCAAGCCATATTATGGCACCTTCATATTTGTGCTCCAAATATCAAACACACTAAACGTAAAAAATGAAAAAGGCACAAATAACAGTGTTTCTAAATCTTAGTCCAAAGAACAGTTTTCCATTGGCTACATTTCTTAATTGTAATATTTAAAACCACTCCTTGTGTTGTGAGGAAAGCTTTGTTTGGGTGACTCGAGGGTAATAGGAGCAAACTGGTAACTTAAAAGACAAAGATTACATTAGACAGAATTCGTACCTATTTTGGCCAAGTTTTATATAGTTTAAAAATGGGGGAGGTCCGTGGGGGAAATGCTATTATGACACTTCAATAAGAATACATTAACAGCCTCTTATCACTGACTCAAGAACCTAAAATATGCTACTAAAATATACATAAAAAACAAAACATTGAATGATTCTGTGGGTATAATGGTAGGTATTGTATTATCAGAAAAGTGGACATTTCAGATAACACTGACATTTGTAGAGCACAGTGTTTGACATTTTTGGTAGAAAATATGTTAGCAAACTAAAAACAAAAATCTTTATAAGAAAATCCTTAAGATCAATAAACATTTATAATGACCACTATATGGTCATTATATTTCATTGTATTTTATTGTATTTAGAATGTAGACCAAATTAATGAGAATCAGTTTACAATATGTGGTATATAGAGTTCAGTGTTTTTATGATACGGACAATGTATTTCATAGCTGACTGACATCTTTGTTTTTTAGTAAGACCACAGGAAAATCTTGTAATAAAAGTATATATGTATGTATGTATGTATGTATGTATGTATATATATATATATATATATATATATATAATGTGTGTGTGTGTGTGTGTGTGTGTGTTGTGTATTTTAAAATTGTACAATGTTAAGGTAATAGGCTTCATATTACGATGAAATTAAGGGAGTAAATTTTTGCTTGTCATGATTCTCCTATACAGGGTGAAGCCCATTGTCAGCTGAAAAACTTCTCTTCTATCACAGATAATTTGTTCCATTTTAATGTAAAACAAGAAAGACTCAAACTAAAATATCTAAAAATAGATTTTTGCTTGTTTGCTCTTTTGAACTGTGCTAATTTGATAATATTTTCTCAATGTAAGTATTTTAGAATTGCTTCAGTTAACATCCAATAAAGCTATAGTAACAATAAAGTCTATTTTAAAACCATATGCTTAATTATTTTGTTCTGAATTTTAAGACTAAATAAACAAATTACACAAATTTTAATATGGGAAATAAAGCTTTAAATGCAAACATACAGGCATATGTACCTGTTTTTCCAGCAACATGCTCTGTCTTTATGTAGGAAGCATACTACCATGCTTCCATCATATATGATCTGACACTGACCACTTCTGCTTCTCTAGGACAAGGCATCAGAACACATCTCACAATAATTTCCAACCTCCAAACATTTTTGTGTGTAAAGCTAAATTCATAATAAAGAACTGGCTCATGAAAAACAGCTGATATCGTTTATCCTGTTCACATTATGTAAAACTTCAGCAATCTACAGTTAATCAGTAAGTGAGTCACCAAGGAGAAAACAAGGGGAAATAAAGTTTCCTAATGAGGCTGCACACACTTTCAGAGGGTCCTCTACTTTCCCACACATCTCCCACAGGCAAATATTATCCATTCATTGTTTAAAAGGAAGTAGAATGTACAGGACTCATTTATTGTTAGGTGCCTTTTCCAAGCGTGATAAAATAGTAATAAATTCAATAATGACTATTTGAAATCCAAATCAATTAATCTATAATCAAGCAAATGTTTATCTATTATCACAAACATCAAGTTGGCTCCATGTGTCATATAAACTTGTTTTAAATGTTTAAACGTAATTATACCTTATTAATCCCCTCAAAAGGAAAAAAAATATATATGTACCATTCATCATAGAAAAATTACACATTAAAAGTGCATATATATATATATATATCTTTCTTAATTGGCCCACTCATGAAATGTACATTTGGTCATCCTGACTTTAACATCTACTAAATTATTCTTTCAAATGTAAGTCATTATAAATTTAACACAGCAAAAACCATGCTTTCTTTTTACTGAAATCTTAACTTCAAATCATTTCTCAATCATTGAAATGCACATAAACCCAGTTTCTTGAGCAGTTAATATACAGATAAACACCAAAAATTTTACTAAAAGTTTAGGCCAACTCATTACTTATCTGCCCCATGAAATGAAAAATAAATTAACCAGAGCAGTGTGTGGCCACCACTTACCTCAACAGTAATAGGCTCTTTAGTGTCAACAGAACTGAGACTGGAGGCGCCTCTGGCAATCTCCAAATCCAGGAGAACCTAGTTTTAAACTTGGAGATTGCATAAAACAAAACCTATAAAATTCTTTTGTTTCCAAAATAATGGAAGATCCTTTTTAAACTCAGTATCTTCAGTTATCAATATTACTGCATCGTGGAGCTAGTGCAATCCTGCATAGCCTTGGCAAACTGACAAGGCACAATAAAAAAATTAAACTATTATGAACAAGAGAAGTCACTGAAGATAATTTAAGGCCTTGAAGTGAATTAATCAGTCTGATTTAAAGCTGAAGTATAAACCATAAATTATCCACCTGAAAGCAAGCAATATGCTTCTCTAGCTTTTGTTCTGCGGACAAGAGACAGAAACAACTGTTGCTTATGGTTTGTATTGGAATCCTTCTGGACCTGGGGGAGTAAAGGCAATCAATTTTCCTACTGTCCATGGAAGACTCAAGACTGCTTTAGCCGTTTGCGTGGAATACCAAACTGTGGACACTGTGCAGATGCTAGTGCTCGGAAGGCTTCTGCCACTAAATGAGGATGAGACTGAATCATAGACTTCCACCCTGCTGTTTCCATGATGTCAGTTGCTTGGCTGAAAAAGAAGATTAAGTGATGTTTACAATGTGTTCTCAAACACACTGCTGAGTTATCAGTTTTGCTTTTTCTAATTTGTGGATTTTGAGATTTTAAATAGTGCTCTACCTCTTTCCATACATTCACTTGAATTTTTAAAAATATTATCTTTATCTTATCAGCATTTTTTGTCAAAATTGAAAAGATTTTTCTGCATGTTTGAACCTGAGGACATGTGTGGTTGTTCTCATAGCTCTCTGTTCACTGTTAGCAAATTCTATTCCAAGTACTTGATCTATTTTTCCTTCTGAGTACCTCCTACAGGTTTTCTCTAGAGTTCTAATCTTTTACTTACACTCTTCTCCTTTTACTACACTATGCATTTTATCTCATCTGTTTGTCACATTTCTAATACGTGCCCAATAGTTAACTAGTGATAAGTTAAATCCTAGTGCTTCCCCACAAGATACATCATCAATCACTGGCTCTTTTCATTTGAATGAGCCTCAAGTATCAGTCACATAAGAACTCATTATCTTTCTCCTTAAGCCTCAAATTGTTTGTCTTTCATTTTGGCTTGAAGTTTTCACCATTGCTTGGCATTTAATTTAAATATCTGGGAGGTATCCTAGAGCCAGTCCTCTAATTAAGCATAAAACTCCCATTTTAATTTCCAAAGGCATCAGGTATTCATAATTAATCCTCATAATCTCAAAACTGATTCACTGTCACATTTTCTTCTTTGTCTTTAATCCTATTAAGTTGTTTCTCTTACTGCAGCTTCCATAAGGCTGCTGTAGCAAAGGGAGTATGACTATATTATGCAGTACTCCACTTTTCCCTTTCCCTATATTTAAGTTTTAAAAACGAGAAATGTGGTTCCATCCTCTTTATTGCTTTTCATTCCCACTTCTATGCTCCAGCTGCTCTGTTACTATTTTATTTACTGTGTCTTAAATATATAACATTCTCTCAATGAGCAATCAGAGTAACTGGAAAAGCAACACATTAGTTCTTTATACTTTCCTTCTCTCCTCTGCCCCTTCTATTTACCTGAATTTAACCTTGTTTCTCAAATACCAACATTACTCCAACTTTCGTCTGCCATCTATCAACGTGCAGAAACACTCCTAAGAATGGAAGCCTTATTGTGTTCAATCAGAGGCATTAACCAATACTGGAGATTCATTATTCTTCACTTCATTGTCAAAAGTCCTAATTTTGCATTGTTTTCAGGATCTGATCTTTGCTTGCTTTCTCTAGCTTTTATTCACTCACTATATACCTACTTCACACACCCTTTATTCTGCTTTTCTGTAATATCAATGAAAGTAGATTCCATAATTCATTGCAATTGCTTGTTTAATCAATTTGCTATACACCATAAATTACTTGTATAGAGGGGAAACTTCTACTATGCCTGCCACTATATTCTCTGTACTGAGCAATAGTGTTCTGGAAACTCAGTAAACAAATAATCACACAACTCTGTACAGTGCTCTGCTTGGTTTCATGTAACCCCTTTCAGTCTGTCATATCTGCTATTTCCTTTTTATTCCTTCTTCTACCTCTTATTCATGTTTTGAAATGAACAGCCTGCTTTGTGAAGCCATTCCTAACTCCCAGGGCTTAGTCAAGTATCTGTACATATCCTCTTCTATCATCACCATTTTAAAATAAAAGGGGACATATGTGTGTATCTATCTCTGTTAGATCAATTTCTTAAAAGCAAAGACATTTCATCAAATGTCATTTTATATGCAGTACCTTAAAGAAGTGCTTGAATTATAATAAAAGTTAAGTATATTGAACAAAATAGTAGCTGATATCAACAAAATAATAGTCTTTGTCCAGTATCACTACTATACCATCATGGTCTTAAATTTTAACTAGTTGTTTAGGAAAACATTGCTATTTATTATCAATTCAATAAATATTTATTGAAAGTTTGCACATATAACACCAAAGTGCATAATTACCTCATTTTAATAGAAGAAAAGTTACATGATGTTTTTTCTTAATAGAGTAAATAAATCTTGAAAAACTAAAACTAAAGCTACGTAATAAGGATCAAAGAGAGCCATTGCTGCTAATGTACAATGTTGAATTCATATTTTTATTTTGATAATCCTCTGGCATCTTACAGTTGTCAATAAACATGCCTCCCACAGATTTAAAAGCAGTAAAATGCTTTACTTTCAGAAAACAAAATTTAAAACTAATATGAAACCAACAGATAAACGCAATGGAAAAAAGTGAACAATTATCTTTAATACTGCCCCCTTTTAAATTTTCTTTTATCAACGATCCCCATGCAATAATATGGTTTGTTATAGATATCCCAGAGTGGCCTATAACTCAGTATGTCAACTTTTCATAATTTTCAAAAGTAGTAAAATTTAGGGGTTTATATGTAAAAATAATCAAAACATTACAAAACCCTTTATCATTTCTTCCTTTTGTTATCTCAAATAATTAAAAAGAATACTCTTAAATAAGAGAAAGAAAAAGATAAAAATTACTTCTAACACTTTGTATATAAAGATCTAGAATCATCCAATCTCTTAGCAATTAACATGTTACTGATTTAAAATATTAGGCAGCTTAATGTATAATGCAAGGTGTTTGGCTGATCTAAAGAGTAGCAAGTTAGCTCTTAAGGTAGAACAGGAAGTCTCTGAGTTGGATGACAGTCTAGAATATACAGCAAGACCTTGACTCAAAATCAAGCAAACAAATAAGCTCAATAAACAAACAAAAATAAAAGTTTCATGGACCTATGAAGTCCTTCTAATCTGCAACCCTCACTATTTGAGAGACTAGGGCAGGAAGAGTAAAACCTGAAGCTATCATAGAAAACTTAACAAAATCTTGCCTCAAAATTCAATTTCAAAAAGGGTTAAGATTCAGGTAGCTCTGTGGTAGAGTCCCTGTGTAGCAGGTGAAATCCAGGGTTCAATCAATAAGTATTATCAAAATCAACCAAAAAATTAACGACTTCCAAGGCAAATCTTGAGGATGTAGTCTTCCTTAACACTTTCTGAAAGGGCAGAAGCCAGATTTGCAGCAAAGCCTATAATGCCTGTACTCAGCTATATACTATGTGATATGTATGCATGTACTCAAAAAATTATGAGCACCCTTCCCTGTTTGTGTCAAAAGCCAAACTACAAGGAATTCACTAAAAGCAGTCAATTTATTTTTTTTAAAAAAATAACTGGCAGTTAGCTTCATCAGGAGCCACACTTATTGTTCATGAGCAAAAGGCTATACAAACACTTCACTGAACGTATCGTATGCAGACTGAAACTGATGCCATCTTACTTGTTATTCCAGTTTTTCCCATCCTTACATCCAAGTTGTCGAAGTACGCTGCACCTGCATAGAAGATTCAAACAAGGTTTAAGAAAAGCCCAGTGAAAGAATGTTAAATGTGTCATATACAATGAAACCCAAGTATAGCTTACCTATTAATAAAGTCTATTGCCTGGGCTTTCAACTGTTCTGCACTGTGCAAATCTGCAAGGACAAGGGTATCAGCAACATTTTCTACTGAGAGGCTACTACACAAAGCTTCTTCACACATGACCTTCAGCCGTTCCAGTGCATACTACCCAAAAGAAAAATATAACCATTAAACATTAATTCCAGTTATTTAGAGTGTAAGTACTTGATATTTGTAACTTAGTAGATAAAGCACAAGAAAACTTGATTTGAACTAATGTTATATTAAATCAATAAACTGTTGCTTTAGCTTATGAAGAAAATGTAAATGAATGCTTTTAGGAGAAATACTAATTTGTTTTAGAAATCATAAATGCAAAACATGGTGGATTTTATTAAAGTAGGAGTTACAAGACAGCTATCTTAGTATTCAGTTATCCTAAAAAGTACATTGTCAAATAAACACTTATCTCAGTTCTTGTCTTCTCAAAGAAAAGAATTCAGCTGAGAGAAAAATTAAGCTGTATTTTATTTAGTAAAAGAAAGTGAAGTAATGAGCATATTTCAAAGAGAGACCTGAGTGGGCTTGTCCTTAAGTGGGAGAAGCATAGCAGCAGTTGGCTGGATTTTGTATTATGGATTTTTAAGGTTTTTACAGTCCCTATCACTTATGACATCATTTTTAACTTCCTTCTTCTAGGTAGCACTTTCATTTCATCTCACTCTGTGGTGATATTGTGTTCCCCAAAATATTGTGCACCCTAATAAACTTATCTGGGGTCAGAGAACAGAACAGCCACTAGATACAGAGGTCAGAAAATGGTGGCACTCACACCTTTAATCCTAGCATTCTGAAGGCAGAGATCCATCTGGATCTCTGTGAGTTTAAAGCCCCCGCTGGAAACAGCCAGGCATGGTGACTCACGCCTTTAATCCCAGAAAGTGAGCCTTTAATCCCAGGGAGTGATGGCAGAAAGCAGGAAGATACATAAGGCGTGAAGACCAGAAACGAGAAGCATTTGGCTGGTTAAGCTTTTAGGCTTTTGAGCAACAGTTCAGCTGAGATTCATTCTGGATGAGGACTCAGAGGCTTCCAGTCTGAGAAAACAGGATCAGCTGAGGAATTTGTGAGGTGAGGTAGCTATGGCCTGTTCTGTCTTTCTGATCTTCCAGTGTTGACCTCAATACCTAGCTCAGGTTTGTTCTTATTAATAAGACCTGTTAAAATTCATGCTACATCACTCTACTGTGCATGGTGTGGGGCCAAGATGCCCTTGTTTTAAATTCCCTGTTTATTAGATCTTCACTGTTGAGTATATATACCATTGTGAAAAGTGCCCTAAAATCTCAAGTTCTCATTTAAGGGGAAGAAACTAAGCTCAGCTTCAAGGCTTGGATGTCAGACCACAGAAGGGCATCCTGACTACCAGGAGATAACAGTTATCAAGTAGCTTAGCTAGCTCCCTGCCTCCTCATTGTGACTGTGCCTAACTGCAGAAGTAGTGGTTTCCAGAACACTCTCCACGCTCCTGCTCATATGTGCCACTAGTTACCTACTTTAACAATTCGTTTTCTTTTCTATTACTTCATACTTAGCATGTATCACACTATATTTTGTCACTAATCTTGAGTGATTAAATTGAAAGCCAAGTAAATATTAGTAAATACTAATTTTTGCAGTTATTGATGTAAAGCTGCAATATTAGTACCCACATTGAGGTTTAATGACATACAATAAGAGCTGCCATTTAAAGTTTGTACTTTGATGATTTAATATCCATGGTAAACCCATCATCCACCCACAAGAATAAAGATACTCTTTAAAGTCCTTCCCCATACCATTCCAAGCAATATTTGTGATATGCTACTAAGAAATTAGCTTGCATTCCCTGAAGTTATTTTTACAAATGTAATCACACAGTATATACTCATCCTCTAGCACTGCTACTCAGTGTGACTACTTTCAGATTCATGCACATCATTGCTTATATAGTTCAGACCTTCTTAATGTCTTAATTTAATGTCATAGGACATTAAATATGAGTATCTCTCTCTTCCCACCTCTCCTCACTCTACACATATTTGTGCATATGTGTGTGTGCATGTGTGTGTGCTTGCACACACATGTGCATGCCAGTGACCTACTGTAACAAGTCATTTTCTTTTCTTGTACTTCACACTTGGCATTTACCACGCACTATATTTACTTTGCCTATATTCAGTCTTGAAGAATGACCATTGAAAGCTAAGTAAATGCTAACAACCACCAATTTTTTGCAGCTAAATATATACATATACATACATACATTCACTAATTGAAAAATATTGTATTTGTTGCCAGTTCTTAGCTATTACAGTTATAGATACTCATATAAATCTTAAATTAGCATACATATATGTTGTTTTTTTTAGGGGGGGAGACTACAGGGGATTTAAGCCTCAAAGTAAACTCAATGGAGTACATGGTAAGTTTACATTTAACTTCAAAAGAAACTGTTAATTTTCCAAAGTGGTTGTACCATTCTATACTCCTATCAGCAGTGTCTGAGAATGCTAATTCTTCAAATCTTTGACAAGTCTTATATAGACTTTGTAATTTTAGCTATTATGATTGATGTACAGTGGTGCATCATGATGGGTTTAATCTCCATTTCTTTAAGGGCATCTTTATTTAATAAGCTTCATTGGTTTTATTTGGGAAGTATCTATTTAAACATTGTCTACTCTTAGTAATAACATTTCTTTTTAGCTGAAGATTAAATACTCTTTACACAGTTTGAATACAAAAGTCCTAAATATATATACCATGAATATGTTTTTAGGATTCAAAAATTTTCTGACATTTCTGCATTTTCTGTGTTCAAAAAGACACAACATGTTTATAACAGAACAAAATTATTAATAATTTTCCTTTCTATACTATCATATTAAAAGAAATCTACAAAGAGAATAATATAAATATATTGCTTTTAAGGAAAAAAACAAAGGTTATGTAGTGTATCTTAAGACTAAGAACATCTGCAAGTTCCAATACATTAGAAATGCAGCTGCATTTTGTATTTACCCCAGAAATTATTAAGCTTATGATTTAATCTTCCATGAGAAGATCTAGGCCCCTCATACTTTCCTATCATATAGATCTTTTAGACAATTTTATTTCAACAGTATTCTACTTTGTGCTATTTCATAAAACTCTTCAAGCTATCTATAAAGAGCACAAATTATATCAAAAGTTATTTGTAGTTTTTATGTATGATATTTTCTATAAATGTCAATCTGAGGGGTTGCTTTTTGTTTTTGGTTTTTTCTTTTTTCTTATTTGGTCCTTTAAAACCGTATTACTTACTTTGTCTGCAGCTGCCAACAAGTTGTCGGCCATTTTATCAAGATTTGGTGCTTTCCCTGTGTAAACGAATCTCATCATTTCTTTAAAAACCTCAGGGTCTAAATCATTTATTTCCACTCGATTCTATTATTGAAAACAATACACACAAATATTAGGAACATGTACATATATGTGAATTCACATGGTTTATTTATTTCTACCCAATTCTATTAATGAAAACAACACACACACACACAAATAGGAATGGGTACATATACGAATCCACATTAATCTTTGATAGTAATTAAAAAACATATTAATATTTTCAAACACACACACACACACAAATAGGAATGGGTACATATACGAATCCACATTAATCTTTGATAGTAATTAAAAAACATTAATATTTTCAAACTCTATTTTTACATCAAAGTTAAGTAAATCTGTAGTAACTTAACCATCCAAACCACAGTATAGGTAGTTCTAAAAATGAAAACATACACCTTTTTTTTTTGTAAGAGCTTTGATCAGCCAGAAAGTAAATACATGGATAGTGAAACCATGTTAAGTATTATCATGTGGTAAGCTTATGAATTTTCATAATTAAGAGAGACAAAATATTGCAGCCCAAATAAAATTCATCTGTGTTCAGTTTCTGATCACAGTTTCAGAGGACAATTACTGACATTTCCCTGGTTGAATTTTAGGACCTAATATGATACCTAAACCCTATAACCACATACACTATTCACAGTTATTAAGCAAAAGAAGAGTCTGTATGTAATTTTGATGAGAGCTCACTAGCTAAGAATACTTGCTTTTGCAAAATGCCACGTAATTATTTCTGTTCCTTCTGTACTTATTTGAGACATACTCCAGTTCAAGCAAGAGGAGTTGCTTTTATACTTTGTAGCCTTATATCCAATTCTCTTCTAAGATAAAGGAAGCAAGAAGTGTCAACACTTCAGAAACCATCTTGGGTCATTTTTGTGAAGTCAAGGTGTTAGGAATATGAGTGAAATCATTTTGTGTAACTTAAAAACAATTTAGTGTGACTTGTTATAATGTGCTACCTAAGCTTGCCACCAGGGAACTCTGATAAAGCTAGGCATCAGAAGAAAGCCCCAGATAGTTCTGATTAGTACATAGCCCAGGACAGGCCTTGATATGCTAATGAACTAACCCCAAGGTGGTACTGATATGCCCTAATAGAGCAAAGCTATCATCCAATGAAATGATACAAAAAATTGGAACTTTGGAAACGGTCCCTAGGATCACACTACTGTGCTCCAAAGAAAAGTTTCTCTAGCCTCAGTTGATACTCAGCTGCAAGAAGATGAGAGACTGTGTGGCCCTGGCTTCAGTGAACACTGAACTTCCAGAGCTGTCCAACACCAGGGGCATTTGCTGGGCTCACATACACCTGCCTGTCAGTTATATAGCCACTTGCCTATGCTCTAAAGGATCTCCTGGGACCTCCACCAGTGCCATCCTCCCAGCCTTTTCACTATGGATATGAGTAGAGCCTGCAAGCTTCTGAAGCATCCCACTGGAGAAGATTCCCCAGTGGAATCTCACAACAGCATTTTCTTCGCAGTCAACTGTTCCCCACTTGGAGATTTATCTATTTGATTTTTAAATTAGTACGCTATTTATTATAAGGGATGTTTGTGTGAATAAACCAGGCATATTTGAAAGACAAATCTTGTGTGAATATCCTAATTGCTGAGCACCACACAGCCCATTGGCCACTGCTCTGCACACAAGGCATGGGCTGACACTTCAGACCCCATCCTGTCACCTTGTGAAGTCTGGGAGTGTGCAGGAGACTTTGGACTCCACCCCTGGCCACCCTCTGAGGTCAGGGAGCACACTGATACTTTAGACTCTACCCTAGGATATGATGGGAAGTCAGGAAACATAAGACATCAGACCCTACCCTGGGTCAACATTTCAGGTCAGGAAGTATCAAATCTGACCAAATGGAATAAAGTTTAAGACCAATAGCAAATTAATCTTGAATAATTATAAAACTCATGGAGATGAAATAACACAATCGTTAATGATAAAAAGCAAAGAAATCAAGGAAGAAATTTAAAAATACATGGAATTCACTGAAAATGTAAACAATACAACAAAACCTCTGAGACCCATTGTAAACTGAAGAGCAAGATTTTATAGCTCTACGTTCCTACATTAAATATTCAGAAAGAGCAGAAATCAACTGTTTCAGCAAAATGACAGGACACAAAACCAACTTAAAAAGTCTGAAGCCTTTCTTCCTACATACTAACAACAACACATTAAAAAAGATCATGGGTATGCTTCCATTCACACGACCTCAAAGAAAAGAAAGTCCCGAGGAATAACCTAACCAAGCAGGAGAAAAACTGCTATGATGAAAACTTAAAATACCTATAGAAACTGACTGAAGACACTAGATAACAGAAAGACCTCTCATGCTCATGGGTTGGTAGAATTCATATTGTGAAAATGGCCACTCTGCCAGTAATTTACAGATTCAATGTAATCACTATCAAAATCTCCACAACATTCCTCACAGAAATAATTTTAAAAATCCTAACACACATATAGAACCACAAAAGACAGAGGACAGCCAGAGCAATCCTAACAAAAGTGAACACTATGAAGAGTTACCATTTCAGATTTCAATATAAAACACAGTGCCAGAGTAATGAAAACAACACGATACCAGCACGAAAACATATTCAGACCAGTGGGACAAAAATGAAAACCCAAACACAAGTGCATGTAACTACAGCCATCTAATATTTGATAAAGATGGCAAAAATATAAACTGGAGTAAAGACAGCATCTTCAAGAAATGGGGTCAGAAAAGCTGGATATTTACATGCAAAATGAAATTTAGAACTGTGTCTTTACAAAATAAACCCTTTACAAAAATAAACACCAAATGATTCAAAGACATCAATGTGAAATGTTAAAACTGAGAATACTAGAAGAAAACAAAGGATACAGGACATAGGAGTAGGACTGCCTTCCTGAATAGGACTCCAAGTGCTCAGAAACTAAGACCACGAGAAATGGGAACTCATAAAACTAAAAAGCTTCTACACAAAAAAACAATCCAGTGAACATCCAGACCCAGGAAGACTGGGTTGTTGTAAGCTGTCTCTTGTCTGTAGTTCCTAGCTACAAATCTTAAGATGTGAGTATATTAGCTAGATTATCCTCATAAAACAGAAATGCAAAAAGCAACCATGGTGTCTGGGGCTCTAGAGAAGGAACCAGCAGGACAGAAACGCTATGAAGAAGGACATGGGAAAATGGAGAGGGCTTTAAACTGGAGGGAGGTGGGGAGGGCAAGAGGAAAAGAGGAGAAGAGCATAAGTAGTAAAAGTGTAGATGTTTGAAAAAGCCACAGAAAAAACATTTCCTAGTTACTAAAAATGCTTTTATAATATATATGCATGCATACTTTGTGTGTGTGTGTGTGTGTGTGTGTGTGTGTGTGTGTGTGTGTGTGTGTGTGTGTGCGCGCATTTTTATTTTTAGAAATGTTACACCACTTAAGGTTGATAGTGTTCCCCCAAGAGCCACAGACTTTCTAACAAAACTCCAAGTAGCAGGCATGACAAACCTCCCTTCAAGTTGCTGGACAGAGTCGTCTAAGCAACACTCAAAACAATGTAGGCTATCACTGTTGTCCTTGGATGCCTTCATGAATGTGAAGGTTAAGTCCCTATTGCTGAAGCCACCATGCTCTTTGGATAGGACTCAGAAGAACTGAGCTGCTTCAAACCTTGAAGCTTCCTCCCTGAAGACTAGAAGCTGCAAAGGAAGAAAAACAAAGAATAGCCCTACCAAGCTGTGACACCTACAAACCACAGCAATGACGAGAAGGGCAAGAAATCTCTAAAGGTGGAATGGTGGTACTTATATCCTGGGAGTAGCTATCAGCCATCTAGCTGGACTCAAGACCTGCTCATTAGGAGGGAATTCATGCCTGGTACTGAAAATTAGTTGAACACTCATATCTGGTGAGGCCGTCGAACCTAGGAAACCCTACTAGTGCTATTTGCCCAAGCCAGTAGAATCTAACTATATTCTCATAAAAGTACAGCTCTCATTCCCCCATGAAAGGGCCTTCTTTTTGCAGTAGAGGAGACCATTACAGAAAATCACAAATGGTAAAAATGCAGAGAACTTGCCACAGTGTGCCCAGCCCTAATGGATACATCTGTAACACAATCCTTACACCTGCAAAAACATTACAGAAGTGGAGGTATAGAAAGATTGTAAGAGCCAGAGGCCCAGGAAGTCTGCTGGAAGACTCCATCTTCCATATATGACAGGGAAGCTCTGCCAATGAAATTTCAAAGCTATAGCAGCCTCAAGAAGAAAAATCTTTAAAAAAAAAAAATAATGTAATGATGCACCTTAATGCTTTGGGGAAAAATTTAAAGAATATGACTAATATTTCTAAGAAGTTTGGGATATATTCAGCAGATCAAAATCAGAATGCAGGGATAAAAGGAGCTAAGGTAAAAGTACAAGGAATTGATACCTAAACTGTAACAGAAAATCCTCACACCTACAGAAAAAAACTGACTTCCAAACACCAGCTTCATTTAGAACCCCAAGTAGACATGACTAGAAAAGAACTTCTCCATGACACATCATAGTAAAGAAGTCAAAAATACAAAGTAAGGGGGCTGTAGAGATGGCTGAGAATTTAAACGCACTGGCTGCTCTCCCAGAACACCTGGGTCCAGTATTCACACTGTGCCTCACAGCTATAATATAATGCTAGGGCCATTCTTAACAGACATAGAAAACAAAACAAACAAATATAAATCCAACAACTTCCCCCACCAAAAAAACTGCCTTAAAACTCATACAGAAGTGCAAAATACTCTGGATAACCAAAACAATCTTGAATAAAATACTTCTAGAAATATTACAATAACTGATTGCAAGTTATACTACAGAGCTACAGTAATAAAAATAGCATGCTGTTGGCACATAAACAAGACACACAGATCAATGAAATAGGAAAAAAAAACTGTGTAAATATAAGTCTATGTTCTACAGATACCTGATAAAAACACCAAAAACATTAGGAAAAAAATTCTTTAATAAGTGATGCTGGAAAAATTGGTATCTACATGCAGAAGATTAAAACGAGAACCTGCTTTCTAACCTTGCTTGAGGGAGGGAGGGAGGGAGGGAGGGAGGGAGGGAGGGAGGAAAAGTACATGCAGGAAGCACAGGGGAGAACACACACTTCAGTGGATCAAGGAACTCAACATAAGACGTGAACTTCTGAAATGCCTAGATGAAGAAATAGAAAAGATGTAAGAAAGGACTCTGTAAAGATGACTCTGGTTACTCAGGAAATAATGCCAACAATTAACAAATAATTAATTAAACCTCATATAATTAAATATTTCTATACATCAAAAGAAACTATTGAGCAAAGAGACAGTCTACAGAACGGGAGAAAATCTTTACCAACTATGCATCTAATTAATAATTAGAATATACAAAGAACTAAAAACAAACTAAAAATCAAGAAAACAAACATCCCAGTTAAAATGGACCATGCTTTAGAGCAGAGATCTCTTAAAAGAAGAAATACAAATGAATAATAGAAGCAGTGGTCAATATCCTTAGCCACTGGGAAGAAGCAAATTAAAATTCCTTTGAGATACCATCTTAACCCTCTCAGAATGGCTGTTATGAAAACAAAAGAAAATATGCTGAAGATGTGAAGAAAAAGGAACCCTTTATTCACTTTTGGTAGGAGTCCAAACTGATATAACCACTATGAAAATCTGTGTGGCTATGGTCTGCCACATGACCCAGCTATACCACTCCTGGGAATATATACAAAGGAATGTATACCTGGCTACAGAGAAACTTATACATCCATGTTCATTGCTACTCTATTCAAAATAGCCAGGCAATGTAAGCAACCTGGAGGTCCCATCAACTGACGAGTGGATAATGAAAATGTAGTAAACATACATTTTGAAATTTTAATTAGGTGCAAAAAATGAATTATGAATTTTTTGTTTTGTTTTGTTTTGTTTTTTGTTTTTTTCGAGACAGGGTTTCTCTGTGTAGCTTTGCGCCTTTCCTGGAACTCACTTTGGAGACCAGGCTGGCCTCAAACTCACAGAGATCCGCCTGCCTCTGCCTCCCGAGTGCTGGGATTAAAGGAGTGCGCCACCACCCCGGCGAATTATGAATTTTTTAGGTAAACAGGTGGATCTGTAAAAGACTATATATTATATGAAGTAATCAGGCCTTGGACAGAAAAATTCCCCATGGTCTCCCTCAGGATCCTAGCTTTGAATTCTCAGACTGTGATATTTAACTTGGAGAGACTATAGCAAGGGTCTATTAGTGGAAGTGGAACAAAATACAGGCCTAAATGGAAGAGGACGATTGCAGAAAGCACGTGCTATGAAAGTAGAGGGAGGAAATACTAAGGATGAAAAAATTTACTTGCTGGGGAACACAAGAGAAGTAGGTGAAGAGATAATCAAAAGCAATGACAAAAAAAAAGCTCTGCAAAGCTTACTATTGGTTATTTTGCAAGTCGATTTATTAAAAATATAATTTAAAAAATGTGTGAATATAGGTATTTCAAATGGGTGGGTAATGTATGCTACAGAAGCCAGAAGTTACTCAACAACGTTCCCAGTGTGGTTCCTCCTCCTCCCTCTCTCTCTCACTAGGGATGAAACCCAAGGCTTTCTGCATGGAGGCAAGCGCTCTAGCAATGAGACCATCAAAATATCTGTTACTGAGAATGTTCACTGAGCATTCACATTGAGAGGCACCTACTGTTTTATTTCAGAAAACATTTCCCCCAATTCTGTGGTTTCTAAAGTTCTTCTGTTAGAACTTGAGAACAAGAACACGCACAGATATTTTTTATATGTGCATTCTATCATTATACATGTACACAAATTAAATAGTATTAAGCCTTTTAACAACATTTACCTTTTTGCATTCTTCCATTTCATGTTCAAACATTGCATTAAAAACTGGGGATCGAGCTATAACAAGAATAAGCACCATTACTTATTGCACAAATTTATTTAAAAAATATTATATTATCCAAAGGAGAAGATACCTGCAAGCACAGACTTATGAGCTTTGAATTCTTTTCCTCTCACAAAAAAGCAGCAATCTGTAAATCTTGTGTTTTCCCAGAGATTACCTAAGTCTTCTGCTAGTCGACATTCCGGCACCTTCAAAGTGTTTGTATTTGTATGTCCTGAGACATTGACTGAATCTTGAACCACACTCACCTGATAAAGAAGACAACAGGAAAACATATTCATACAGTATTATAAATAATCAGTTACTATGTGTACATTGAGTTTTTTAACTTATAGTACCCTGGTTAATTCAATATATTGCTAATTAAAAATCCTAGTACCCTCCTAAACAAATTTAAAATAAGTGAAAGAAATAATCGTTTTCAGTAGTGACACTGTATTCAAATAAATGACTTATCAATTGATCAAAAAACTCAGTTATTACAATCACAAAATTATTTCCTAATAGAAACTCCACAGTATCATCAAACTTGACAAGTTGACATTTTTGTGGAGGAATTTTTATTGTTTTTCACTTATAGTTCATGCCTATTAACATTTCACTTTTATTACACATACAACTTGTATAGTTATCAGGGTCCTATTTAAGGTCCAGCCTCAGTCCTTTTAGGGTTCAGAAAAAGACCCTACAACAAGCAAAGGAAACCTAATGATCTGAGGGCAAAAGAATCGGTTCACACCGTTCTCCTTCTCTTTCTTGTTCTCTATTGTTCTCCTCTTGCTACAAAGTTTCCAGCTTACATACATTCATAATCAGCAATTCTTGGCAGCCAAGGTACAGGGCCAGAACTTCTCAGGGTCATAAAAAGCAGGTAAGTTACTAACAAGGCAGTAAGTGTCAGCTTCTTTTATGGCACAAGGTGGGAGTGGTAAGTAGAAATTCCCCAGTGAGGTCAGCTAGAGATTAAATCAACATGGGAATCTAAGAGGGGATCTCGTGTACATCACTACATTCCTAGATGTGGGTAGGTACTAAGCTAAAGGTCTATAATCAGTAAAATCATGAGCAACGTAAAAACTGTCTTTATCTTCCATGTGCTGCCTTCTTTCCCAGCAGGCAGAGGAAGGTTCAGGTAGCTGGGTAACCAATGTAAACAACAGGGGAAAACAAGCAATGTTTGGTCCACGTTAGCACTTTCATCAAATGTTAGCTAGCTATAAAGAAGCTTTCAGATCTAAGGATTAAAGCTTTACCCTAAGCAGTTAGAAAACAAAGAAAGAATCCAAGTCTATTTGGTATAGGATCCCCAGTCTGGCACCTCCAAGCCACCCTGGTCATATGCGGCATAAGGACCAGAATTTGCTCTCTAGCACCCATGAGAAAAAAAAAAAATTATAGCTCCAAATGTAATTTTAACACTGGGCATGCAGAGAGGAGAAACCTAGTACTTATATTTCCTTGTAACAGTTATGATCAAAAGTATTTATTACAATAATCTTAAACCGGTGGTGGAGGCGCACACCTTTAATCCCAGCACTCAGGAGGCAGAGCCAGGCGGGATCTCTGTGAGTTCAAGGCCAGCCTGGTCTACAGAGCGAGATCCAGGACAGGCACCAAGACTACACAGAGAAATCGTGTCTTGAAAAAAACAACACCCCCCCCAAAAAAAAAAAGAAAAAGAAAGAATTTATTACAATAATCTTATGAGATGGTATTATAAATATGAGGGCCAAGATATTATACACACAAAGCCATCTATAAAGGTTCTATCTTAAGATTTCTATCATTCAAATTATCTAAAATTTCAGTAACTTCAAAGAGAAAAAAAACACTTGCCTGATCTTTGCTTGATTGTCCTATTTTACTATATATCAGAAGTCAATGATACACAAATGAAATGTGCTGATGTAAATAAATACTCAGGGTTTATCTAGAAATAATTTTTAGTATATAATATATTTAATTGATTATATTAAGCATTATTCTTGAAATTTTGGGATAGAAATAACTGGATCTGTTTATTAACTTGCATAAATTATATAGTAGTTATAAAAAAAGTATGGTAACATTTGATTTAAAAAAAGATTTCTTAAATTCTATGTGTTGTCTCTAATTCAAGATAATATAGTTATATGTGTGTGTGTATGCATGCATGTGTGTGTGCATGTATGTGTGTGTGCTGCAAGTACACAAACGTCATACTACCAATGTGAATGTCAGAGGAAAACTTTGAGGAGTCAGTTCTCTCATTGCACCTTGTTTCTGAGGTTGAGTCTGTCTTCTTGTCATGTTATTTCTAGCTAGATCACTGTTTCTCTGATCCTCCTGTCTCAGACTCTCCTTTGCCATAAGAGTCTTGGGATTACAGGTACATGTCAAAACATTTGGCTTTTTATGTGGGTTCTGGTCATCAGGCATGTGTGTGGCAAGTGATTTTATCCACTAAATTATCTCCTTGGGCCCCAAGATAATATATTTAATGTAAAAACTTGGAAGAAAACACACAAGAAAGAAAGAAAGAAAGAAAGAAAGAAAGAAAGAAAGGAAGGAAGGAAGGAAGGAAGGAAGGAAGGAAGGAAGGAAGGAAGGAAGAAGAAGGGTGAGGGAGGGAGGAAGTAAATTATTGAATGAACGAATCAATAAGAATGAAAGAAAACAGGCATTATCATCATAGTTGTGAAGCACAGTTGCATTCTGTATAAATAATCATAATTTAAAGGACTTGTATTCCTCTCATACCAGACATTTCAATTCAGATGGAAATTAATGACCTAATTAGAATTGAGATGTGATGGGTTCATTGCTTTGATATCTATAATTTGAATGATAAAAATTTTGAGGACTGGTAATGAAAAACTTTATTTATGGAACCTAGAGAGAAAAATTCAGGAAGAAGGCTGAGATTTTCTGCTGACTTAACACATAGTTCTCTTATTAAACTTGCTACTGATTGACCCTAAGGATATAGCTTAAAATGAAAACGAACATTTGAAGGGTGTAACTGAATGTGTATCTAGCTAACAAATCTGGTTCTTCTCTTCTGTGGGACTAAAGACAATACTGGTTCTAACTTTTAAAAACCTGAACCCTCCAAAACTATCCTAAAAGGGAGCTGCTACTAAATCCACAAAGTATTACAATGCTGTCTCTCTAATCAACTACTTGCTTAACCTATATACTCACTCCAAAGGCAGAAACTTTTAAACGTCTAGCTTTATATATCTCCTAGAAAAGGTAGCTAATATGAGTTTGGGGCTTTCAATATACCATTTTAAAGTTCTGGTGACAGCAACAGGGTAGTCAAGTTTTTACTTTTCGCAGCTAAAAGTTCAGAAAATAAAACCCATCTTTCACTCATTACCGAAGCGTTTGTACAGTCAAGTCAATCTGAAACCTCACCAAAAGGAAAATGTTTCATTGGTTTTCTTTAATATGTCCTTAAGAATGAATGAGTTTAGCTTTATGAAAAGCTTCTCATATATTTTAGCTATACAGATCTTTTTTTGTTTATTAAAGAATGCCATAGATCTATAGCCTATCAAGAATTTAAAAATTTTTAAGGTTTCAAAAGATGAGTAACTCTGGCCAGTGTTTTCTTTCTCTAACTTATTCTGAATTCTTGTTTGCTGCATCACTTTGGAGAAAGGAAGCAGGGCTATTTACACTCTTAGAAATTTTCATCTAACTCTTGCCACATGAGCCACTACATAGACAGCAAGACTAAGCTATGTCTTGCTTAAAAAGGGTAGCACCCAGCTGCCTTACCTGTCTACAGCACCACTTGCAGTGGAGGGGGAGGTGCCAGTTCTTTAGGGAGGGCAGTGCAATGCTTCCTCCTCTTCTGCAAGCAGTGTTGGAGATGCTGTAGAAGGAAGGGCATCCATGAGAGGAGTGGAAGGAATGATGGAGGGCACAGAGAATGTTGTTTAAAGGTGATTTTGGGCCACCTATGCTAAAGGTAGTGTCCAAGAGACAATGTTTGGGCTAGTGAAAAGCATATTTCAAGATCTAAAAATGGGATCTGATTATCACCAACTTAAAAACATGTGTCATAATACATTCTATGGGTCACCAGATGTATTTAGCATATATATACAAACAGACTTCAAAAATGCATACTTGAATAATCCTAAAATTAATTTCAGCCTTAATTCTGAATTTATTGATTGTCTAGGTTCCAGTGCATACACCCAGGAAAATACCTATTAACAGACACTATTTCAATTCTATAATGTAGATTATTTAGATTATTTTCTAAAAAAGGTTCATTCACTTGTTGTTGTTGTTCGGGTTTTCTTTTTTAATATATTACTCAAATAATCTTAAAGGACCATTAAATTCTAAGATGACAGTTAAAAAAACTAACATTTTCAAATTAGGGTAAACTCTAAAATTCTGGAAGAGTCCACGCAAAAGGCAAGAACTTAAACAGTATAACCTCTATCTGTTTAAAATACTGCTTAAATACCTGCTTATTACAAACAAATGCTTCAGTTTTTTCCCTTGAAATCATGAGAAACTCATCAAATAATTGTATTTATAACAAATAGATTACATAGTTCATTTATCCAAGTATTTTCCTGTGGTCCTATTTCAATTCCAAAACATACGTCAATATGATATAATACAATGACACACAGTTGTAATCTTGAAAATATAATCCTTGGGTTTACTTCAAAAAAATGAATCTCATGGTTTTATATAAATAAACCTACCCAACGATAAAAATGACAGAAGCAAACCCAAACCTAAAATCAACACAAATCATAAGAGTAAATTCCTGGTAGAAGAAATACTCATAATTTTCAAAATATGATGCTTTATGAATATAAATTAAGCACGTATGCTTGCCAAATTATATGATCATGTTATTAAAATCTCAGATTTGTTTCTTCTTAGAATATTAACACATATTTGACTATATTAATACTCAAATAACTTGAAGGACTAGAAAATTTTCTAATATTTTCCACATGCTTTCTTATTCAAACTAACAAACTGTGAATAATAAAGTAGAATCAGATTAACCTAAAAAACTGGCTCTCTATATCAGAATTACTTAGAATGAAAAAGATATTAAATAAACACAACAAAGATATACATAAGAAGCTTCTTCAATAAGAAGGATTTAGTATGTAGTAGGTATAACTATTCAAACAACTAGAGATATGATAAAAATATAGACCACATCAATTTGTAAGATTTTTGTCAGCTTTTTCTGTTGAATTTACAAAAAAAATTATGAAATATACCAATTACTTTAATTTTAAAAAGTATACTCAGTATTAATCTAGCTTGTACTTTTACCATGTGGTGATATATTGGGTACCCTACTAAATTTGCCTGAAGATCAGAGGACAGAGCTAGCCACTCGATTACACATAGATCAGGCACTGGTGGCACACACCTTTAATCCCAGCACTCGACCTCATGCCTTTGCTTGGGAAGCACACAGGCCTTTAATCCCAGGAAGTAATAAGGCCGGACAGAGAAAGGTATATAAGGCATGAAGAAACAGGAACTCTCTCTCTCTTGAGGCTGAGGAGTTCATAGAGGTAAGAACTAGTGGCTGGCTGTTCTGTTTCTCTGATCTTTCAGTTTTCACTCTGATATCTGGCTATGGGTTTTTAGTTGAAAGAACATCTAAGATTTGAACAACATTGCCACATTACTAAATAAACCATGGAAGTCTTTATTAATAAAAACATACCCACCTCACAGAATAATGTAAGCTTGTCATCTGGTAAGAGACCATTGGCTTCATCAAGCAAAAAATCTCTTCTAATGAATTTTTTAAATCCCCAGTCCTTCCCCTGTACAAATCGATAAGCTCTTTGGCTTTCTGGTGGAAAACAGAAGTTTAAATTAAACAAGTATCAAAGATACATTTTTTCTTAATGGTGAAGAAATATATATTTACAGGACATAAATAATCACTATGATATATCAGCCATGTGTGTAAATAAGGTACCTGAAGAAATATGTCAAGGAGAATCAAACCACTACATTGTTGCTCAAAAGTTTGGCCACAGTCAATGAACTTGAATTAAGACTTATGACTCTCTTAAGTAAAGTCATCAAATCTGCTAGAAGGGAAAGATACATATAGACACACAGAAACACATTCTCTCTCTCTCTCTCTCTCTCTCTCTCTCTCTCTCTCTCTCTCTCTCTCTCTCTCTCTCTCTCTCTCTCTTTCTGTCTTGCATGCACATACACAACTGTCCCTAAATAAAACAAATTCAAAACATACTGACATAGGCATAAGTAGTCATCTAATCTAATTACAAAATATCTTAATAGCTGTTTCTCCCTTAAAACTAGGTGCTGAATCCATTACAAAACCTTTTAAGCTCTGCTGGCAAACCCATCCTATTTATTTAAGTTTGCTGAATTATAGAAAACTTCAAATTTGTAAGAACACTAATAAGTCTCCTACCATTCCCAAGATTTTAGATATAATCTCATGGAATACACTTTCATACATAAAAGGTCAAAAGACGCTTTCAGTATAATTTATAAAAGATTTTGATAAATACCTAAGATGTTTCAAACATCTCAGATACTGCTCAATTGTACACTGTAAAATACACAATATTCTCAGCAGAAAGTATTCACTATATATTATTATCTATACAATCAGGATGTAACTTTAACTAAAATACTCTATTTTAAATGTCACATAATATGGAAACATAAATATTAAAAAGTGTGTGTGTAATAAGTTCCTCGGTTCTTTGATTCACTTCTAGAAAGTATTTACAATTCAGTGTGACAGGTTACAGGCTATTATCCATTAAAAACACTGTAAATATTCTCTAACATTCTTCTATTATGAAGCTCCAAAGTAAAGCATTTCCACTAAGGTTAATAGGCTCTGAATAGGAGAAAAATTGATTTTCTTTAGTGTTAGTTAACTGGTAAAAATAAATCCCAGGGACAAACCATGAGGCCATTCCACCTCCTTTGTATTGTTTCCCAGCAAGAAGAAAAGGGAGGAGAAATTCCCTAGTGACATGTACCAGGCATCCTGTTTTAGCACCAACTATTTTTCCAAGTGACAAGTGAAAAGTCACTTTAGGGACATGAAGCAGTTAAACTTTAATATTATTTGAAGTACTTCTATATGTCTATGGAAGCTAAAACTTATGAAGAAACTTTAGCTAGAATGTGAAATGCAAAATTAAGTAGTAATGGTTACAGGTAAATTTTTGGACTAAAGAAATTTAAGGGAGGAAAATAACCCAAAACTTTTCCAGATAAAGTCACTGTATGTAGATAAAGAGACTTCTTCATCCAGTTTGCCAATCACTTACCCATTGCTTTTGTTTCTTCCCTTTTAGCATTCAGAAGGGAAAATTTGAATTTTGCTCGAACCTCACTTTTTGGGCAGCTGACTAAAAGCAAATATAAGGACAAATAGTCTTTACTTTCATCATCTAATCCCTTTGGGTTTACCCTCAGGCACCTAAAATAAAACAATAGGTCACTTAGAGGAATTTAGTATTTGACATTAACAAAAAGACAGGCGATACTGAAATCACTTGCAAATTATATCACAACAGCACTCCTGTAATAACTCCATGTTTTTTCACTTTCTCCATTTTAGTAGGAATTAATTACTAATTTAATGTAAAATTATATTATTACCCATAGGGCCAACAACAACAATAAACCCAAAGTAAGAAAAAATACAGTTAAAAAATATAATAATAATGCTTACCATTTCATTTTATCATTTGGGCCAGAAGAAAATGTTGAACTCTTTAACACTTCACCCATTTCTTCTCGACAAAAACTGAAGTTATTAATAGTCCACATGTAGGAAAATTTCACCACTTTAACCTATGAGATCAGAAAGCCACTTTTTATACTCAGGACTTAATCTCTTAACTTGTCACGAGTCAAATATTCATTCTAATCCTTTTAGCAACGATGTCACACTGTTTTACAATTTTACAATACTACTTGTCATGACTAGAAAATTCATGTGACACGCATCAAATGCGTTTTAAATGGCTGTACCTGTGTGTAACACCAGCTTTCTGCAACAGGGCTAGGAGACATATCTCCAGGCAGCGGTGGAGTAGGTTCCCGAGACATTGCCACCTTATAACAGGCTTAAGATTCATATAGTTTCCCACAAACTTGAGTAATTTAGCTACAAGAAAAGAAATTAAATTTATTGATCAACCTTTGAAAAAATCAGGAGGGAGAATATAAAGTTGAGGAAACTACTATTAAAATTAGGGCCGAGCGGTGGTGGCGCACGCCTTTAATCCCAGCACTTGGGAGGCAGAGCCAGGCGGATCTCTGTGAGTTTGAGGCCAGCCTGGGCTACCAAGTGAGTTCCAGGAGAGGCGCAAAGCTACACAGAGAAACCCTGTCTCGAAAAACCAAAAAAAAAAAAAAATTAGATTTTAAAGAACACATTAAGTGTTCAAATAATTTTAGAAATTTTTAATAAATGAAACCATAAACATCTGTCAAATACACATCTGAAATCTAAACAAGCTCAATACTTATATATGACACTATTTTTCAAAATATCACAAATTAAAAATATTCATGTAGCATATTATAGAAACCTAATGACATCAATGTCTGATTCATCCTCTGCCATCACTTCCTGAAATCCAAAGGGCCATGAGCAAGTTATCACTAACTACTTGTCATCATCTGCCAGTTCCCAGCTCTTAGCAAAGAACCCCAGACTTCACAAAAAGCCTACAGAGAATGCAGACAACCTGGCTGTGTCATGAGACTGTATCTCTGTCAGAGTGTTTCCTTCACAGATGGACTGAATCACGTATTTCCCTTCTAGTTATCTGTTCCTGTACCAAATCAACTGGATGTACAATCAACAATCTATCTGGGTGTTGTTGAAGAGCATTTGTTTGAGATATTCTCCTTTCTCCAATGTGTACTTTTACAAACGTTGTCAAAAATCAGTTGGTTGTACTTGCATGGGAAAATTTTGATATACTAAAGCAATATATTTCATTATTGTTGAACTATGTTCTTTTCTTCAATGTTCACGTCTTCCACTCTCCTCCCATCCACTGACTGTTGTTATTGATATTGGTGAATATACTGTACTGTGTAAGAGCAATGAGAATCTACTTTTGATTTAAGAACTGATAAAGAAACCACATTAATCCTATGGAGGGATGTACTTTCGAGAAGATGACAAATCCTTCAATAAAAAAAAGAGACATAACTGTCTCTAAAACTATAGGACAGTAGTTTAAGATGAGAAAATGAAGACTGAAATAAGCCACTTGAAAGACTGAGAAAAAAATAAAGCTATAAAAGATAAAACAACAAATAAAATTGTTAATGAAGAAGAACTTTAAAACTCTGCGATACAGACATGAAGCAGGAGTCAGAAATCACTGTGCAGACCTGGATCCCTAGGCAGAGAGCAACAGGATCATGGAAACACAGCCTGGACTGCATGGAAAATTCTAGGAGGACCTACTGGAAAGGGAGAGAACTTAAGAGCCCCCAAATGGAGAGGAGGGCTATGAAATTCTGTATTTGGGGGGGAATGACATTTGTACTTAAACTCACAGCTACAGTTACCTGAAAAGGGCCTGCACAAGGTTTGACCCATTCATTCATGAATGGAGGGCTTTCCACATGGGGGGCCCAGACTATTGATAGCTGATGGGTGTTCGGGGAAAGAGTCGCTGTTTTCAATGGTGTAACACTACTGAGATATTTAGACTTGACTGAAATAACTAAAAAATGTGGACTACATGAGTGAGGTTAACAATAACAACCTAAATAAGAATTCAAAATTGGGCCAGTGAGATGGCTCAGATGGCAACAGCTCTTGCCATCAAGCCTGACAACATGATTACTATTCCTTGAATAAGGAAAAATTGATAAAGAAAGAGAATTGGCCACATGGTAAAAAAGAGAATTAACTCCTGGGGTTGTCTTCTAAGCTCTACATGTGAGGCATGGTATACAAGTGCCCCCTCCACCCTTTCCACAAACAAAAAATAGTAAACAAAACAAACAAACCAAACACAGACAAAAATCACCAATGAAATATATTACTATGAAATTCAAAATGAGGAAAAAACAAATTAATGTGGCCTTATTTTTCTACTTGCTGATTAAAACCTAAGAAAAACAGAGTGATTACTAGTCTCACAGACATTTTTCATGCTTAAAAGGCAAAATAACATTTCTAGATATGTAAAACATGTATACCATACTCACCTACTTCTTGAATGAGATAAATTCCCTCAAATTACTTCCCAGTCAGACAGAGGAAAACAACACAACAATCTCCATATAAAGCAGTTCTGATTTTTATCCCATTTGAATATGAACAAGAAACTCATGTTTTAAAGGAGATAGTGGCCAAGCATGGTGGCACACACCCATAACCCTTGTAACCCCAGCACTCAGAAGCAAGAGAACAAAGACTGTCATTGTGAGACCAGCCTGGGCTACATAGCAAGACCTTTTCTCAAAAATAATAATAAAAACAAACTCTTAAAAGACTATGATGAAGTAAATCAGTAAGTTAAAACAGTAATTAAAACTATAAAATAAGTTATTTTTTTTAATACATAAAGGGAATATATTCATCTTGTTTTTTTAAAAAGGTTAGTGTAAACTATAAGCGAGATTTGATAAGGTTTGGTATACAATAAGGGACAAATTATAGTTCATTTATTTATAAATATTTTAAGTAGCTGACATTGATATATGCTCCTCAAGCTTGGGAGACATTAATTTTAATATGAAATATGTAAAATTAAAAGCAAATAAAAGAAATAAGATTAAGAAATTGGTATGCAATAGATGAGAAATCTTCAGTTAGACAGGAAGGAGGCTACTGATGTAGCAGGAATCTTAAAGAGTCTTATTAATAAATCAAACCTGAGCCAGGTATTGGGGTGAACTGGAAGATCAGAGAATGAGAACAAGCCACAGCTAACCTCACCTGGCCAACTTCTCAGCTGGTCTTGTTTCCTCAGACTAGAAGCTTCTGTGTCCTCATCCCAATGGCTCTCAGCTGAACTGTGCTGCTCAAAACCTAAAAGCTTCACCAGCCAAATGCTTAACCAGCCAAATGCTTCTAGTTTCTGGTCCTCACGCCTTATATGCCTTTCTGCTTTCTACCACCACTCCCTGGGATTAAAGGCTAGCTTTCTGGGATTAAAGGCTCGCTTTCTGGGATTAAAGGCGTGTGTCACCAAGCCTGGCCGTTTCCAATGTGGCCTTGAACTCACGGAGATCCAGAGGGATTTCTACCTCTGGAATGCTAGGACTAAAGGTGTGAGTGCCACCATTTTCTAGCCTTTGTATCTAGTGGCTGTTCTGTCTCTGACCCCAGATAAGTTTATTAGGGTGCACAATATTTTGGGGAACACAATACCACCACAGGGTAATCTCAAAGGCTTCTCTAAAAAAATATTTGAATGGAAGACCAGAAGATGAAATAACATCAGACACAAGTCAAAGCCAGTAATTTGGAGAAGAGAAGGGCAGCAAATGTGAATGCCTTGGGCAGAAAAGCCTATGAGAGTCCTGAGAATACTGATAGCAGTCAAATGTGTCTGATGTCATTTCAAGATTTTAAGGGAAAAATATACATAATTTAGGTAATAGTGCAATTGAAAAGGCAACTTTCAGAGAACAGACTGGTTTAGTAAAAGCCAGGGAAGAATACATGCTGGAAAGCAAATTATGAGGCTATTAAGGACAGTTTGACAAGAGATAATGCTACCTCAGTAAAATTACAGAAAAGGGCCCTCTCATTTGAAGAAATATTTGACAATCAACAAAATTTTTGATGGACTGAAATTAAAGTGAGGAGCAATCAAGGATAAGTTCTTGTTTAGGACTTGAGAAATGGGAGAATGTTGATACCATACACTAAGACAGGGAAAACGGTAAAATTGGGGGCTGGAGAACAGGTTCCAATATAGTGAGTGTGCAACATCACAGTATATCTCAAGTGGAACAACTTTCAAATTAATCTTTCCATTAGATTGTGCCACTTCCTTTTTATTATTAACATCAGTTCTAATGTAGTGACCCAGATGTGCTCACAGGTTGCATAAAGTAAGTAAATAAATAAATAGAACCTGTCATAACATGCTTGTAGCACAATGATAAACTGAGGGATCAACAATTAGCTAAGTAAAATTGAAAATTAGGATACTGGAGGCATCCTTGAAAGCACTCAAATATTTGTTTCCTCATAGTTCACAATGGCTGAGCCACAGCATCAACCTATTCAAGAAAAAAACTAAAGAAAAGGTTTGCATGGTTAGAAAGGATTTTTTTTTTTTCAGTCTGGATTCTTTTCAAATGAAGTATCTATGACATGGGGTTACAGAGAATACTGCTCAACTGCATCTTGCGCACTTTATAAGGTATTATGACTGTTTATGTTTCAGTAATGCTGTTAGTAGTAATAACCTCACCTTAACTAGGAAAAAGATTTCGAATGTTTTAAAAACTTCTACTTTAGAATGTACGTAATCGACAAGGGATTGAACACACATTTGCCTGTCTCCAAACTGCTATGGGATGTTCTGTATGTTAAATGTGTTGCTCTGATTGGTTAATAAATAAAACACTGATTGGCCAGTAGCCAGGCAGGAAGTATAGGTGGGACAAGCAGAGAAGAGAATTCTGGGAACAAGAAGGCTGAGTCAGAGAGACGCTGCCAGCTGCCACCATAAGTACCAACATGTAAGAAACTGATAAGCCATGAGCCACATGGCAACTTATAGATTAATAATTATGGGTTAATTTAAGACAGCTAGCAAGAAGCCTGAGCCATTAGGCCAAACACTTTAAATAATATAAGTGTCTTTGTGTTTATTTTATAAGTGGGCTATCAGACTGTCAGGGCTTGGCAGACCCGGAGAGAAGCTCTCCAGCTACACCAAACCTATGCTCCTCCCCTAGATTACTGCTGCCCATAAAAAGTGTAGAGATGCAACAGACCCACTGTTTCAACACTTAATATTACAGATAATCAAAAGACATAGATTAAAGTAGAATAATAAACCATCAGTTTTACAGTGTTAGGCAAATACTGGAATAAGGGACAAAGATGAGCCTCCAATGTCAACTTTACTGTTTCCAGTATTCTTTTCCAATCTCTTTATTTTAAAAGAAAAA